CTGAATCCATTCATCTTAAATTCAGTCCATCCTATTAGCCTGTTGAGATCTGCAGATTGCTGGATAACCAAATTTTTAGCACTCTGGAAAAACATGCTTCAACCTTTAACTAGTCCCTGAAGTCATGAGGAGGAAGGCAAGAACCACAATTTCAAGACTAAGGAATACCCTGAGGTATTTAGAACCTATCTAAAAACAGCCCCATGGATCATAGCTGTTCATTATTTTCATCACAAAATGCTTATGAAACTTAAGATGCAATGGCACATGTGGGAAGAGGCTCCCCAGATCAAGGCTGGGCTGATTACTGACAGAAAGATGCCAGCAGTTTTTCTGCATTCCAGTTCTACATCCTGTCTCTGATACTTTGGCAGCCCTGTGATCTCTGTGGTTATAGAACAGAACTCCAGAGGCTCTGTCCCCTTGCAGAACTGCTAGCTAGCTTCTTGCAGAGACACGCACTTCCAGTATTTGTAGAGTACTTTTTCTAGGAAGGTATCCTAGCCTAATGTACAAACTGCCTGCACAGGATAAACAATGATTTCTTTGTTACTTTTTGCAGCAATCCTTTGGGGGTGATTTAAGCAGGTAGGAGTTTTACAGTGTTTAAAAAAAAAATCAACCCCAGGCTGTTTTAATGAGAATAGACAGATAAGTCTCCAGTATGGGTTGTGGAGTTTAAATTCAGGGGTTCTGTTGGCTTCAGAAGCCTAGTACCTCCTTTAATTTAGGTGAAGCTAAAATCTTCCTAGAGTTACTCTTTAAGGGTTTCTTTTGTTATGGTTGTAAGAATAATATTACTTTCTAAGTTACTCCATTTGGGCTAAGACAGAATAATGGAGCATTACTGAAGGAAAGAAAAGGCTCTAAAAAAGTCCATTAAATTTCCATACAGCAGTGGAGGCATCCAATCTTATCCCATAACACTCCTTTCCATGTAATTTATGTTATGGTCAAATTAAATTATTCCCAGCTCCCCAAATGTTTTCTTGCTTTCATGCTTTTTCTCACACCATTCCTTATGCCTGGGCCTCCCTTTGGTGGGAGCAATATCTCAACTTTCACTTTGGGCCCCTCCCCACCATTCACATTAAGTCAGTTTTTCCTTAAAAAGTATTGAAATCATCCTTTAGATTTGATTGACTCAGAGGACTCAAGACTCAGGTAAGTGATGTCACTTCTTGGCCATGTGGTTACAAAAGAGCCAGAAGGAGATCCAGGTGTGCTCAGATGGTTGGCTGGTGGACCACCAAGGATAACTCAGAAGGAGAGCTTCACTTAGCTGAATCAACTTAGTGTATCCTCAAGCATAGCCTTGTTGAATATCTTCCTCTTTTTGTTAACTGTTGAATGATCTAGGCGTGTCCCATTTTGTTCCAGTATCAAACATAAACTGCAGGGACCTGGGTTAGATTTAGCCCAGAACACTCTACTCTCTACTCCCAACCACCATCTCCATCTACTGAAATTCTACTCAACCTTCAAAGCTTAGCTCAACCCTCACATCTTCCACGAAGCCTTCTCTGATTACTGTAATCTCTGATTACAGATGATTTTTTTTTCCTCCTCTGAACTTTCACAGCACTTTGTGCCTCTCATGCATTTACCATATTCTGCTTTGTACCACATTTCCTTGATCATATGATTTAGTGCTGGAAGGGACTTTAGGGACCATGTAGTATATCCACTTCCTTTTAGATATATGGATTTAAAGCCCCCCCCCCATAGAATTTAAATAATTTACCCAAGATTTCACAGAGTTAACAGTAGAGTAGGTTGTGAATGTAAGTTCTCACACTCTAAATCCTGTTCTCTTTTAGGTATAGACCTTACATTTCTTACAAGATTCCAAGTTCCTTGAGGGCAAGTAATTGTCTTATTTATCTTTGTATGTTCTTCACATGCAAAAAAAAAAGCCTCATCATAGGATGGAAGTGACTCTGGGTTCTTGAAGGATTTGGCAGCAGGAAAGAAGCCGTGAGAGGTCCTACCAAGCTGGAAAGTCCCATGAGTATGGTTCTAGCAACAGATGGCTCCTCCTACTCTCCGAGCATCAGTGTAGTTAAAAACAGAGAAGTTCATTACTAGCTTTCTAGCTATCAGGTAATGAATTATTTGATTATGGTAATCCAGGAAACAAAATGAAAAAAAAATACTCCCTAGTGATAGTGGTAAAGTGGCAGAAAAGGGGGCCAGAAAATCATAGTTCTTAGACCATATATAAATATTAATTTAGCTAAAATACACTAAATGTGATCTCTTTGTTCAATAATCAGTGAGTTGATACATTCTTGGAGAAATGAAATTATTTCAATATTTTGTTTTTGTCATTCAGTCATTTCAGTTGTGTCTGACTCCTCATGACTCCATTTGGGGTTTTCTTGGCCAAGATACTGGAGTGGTTTGCCATTTCCTTCTCCAGTTCATTTTATAGATGAGGAAACTGAGGCAAACAGGGTTAAGTGACTTGCCCAGGGTCACACAGCTAGTAAGTATTTGAGGCCATATTTGAACTCAGGTCTTCCTTACTTCAAGCCTGGCGCTCTATCCACTTCACCACCAGCTGCCCATCTCAATATTTACATTCTCATTATAAATGAAAGTAGAAAGTACGAAGAAATTGAAGCTAAATAGAAGGATAATTCATGGCTTCTCCTCAGAAAGCAAACAAAGGAATTGGTAGTTAGTTTCATTATAAGCCAAAGAAAAGCAAGCCATTTCATTTGCGGGGTCCTTTGGTCATCTCACAATGACTCATGACCACTAAGTCATGGTAAACATGAGGAAGAAGAACACTATGAGGATGACTGAACTGTCTGTGTCAAAATCTTTTGTAGAGGACGAAGAAGTAGAGCAGTTCTATAACAAACATATCAAGATATGTCAAAGCAAGGCGACTTATGCCTTGATGCTTGGTGACTCCAATCTAAAGACTGGCATGGGGGAGGATGGGAAGGCATATTTTGGAAAATGTGGTTTGAAATTTAAAAAGATTTCAAGATGATTCAGAAGTCTCATGCCTGTATTTCCTGAATACTTTCTTCAAGAAACAAGTTAGTAGGTACCGGATATGGCAAGCACTGAACAACATTACACACACAAAAAAATGGACCTTATTCAAAAAGACAGGAAACACCTGGTTACCAATGTAGGCATCATTTCAGAATGAACTGCCTATGTGGAGTCGGGCTACTAGCTAGTAAAAGTAAAGGTAAAAATGAGCACCAAATATGCAGAAAAAATAAATATCAAAAGGCACATAATTACAGCAACTCTGACCTGACCTATTTATTTTTATTTACATATTTTTGAATTTTTCAACCTGACCTTTTAAGCAAATGATTGATGCTTAAAATGGGAAATGAATAAAAGCAAAGACATTTTACGTCTATTTCTTAGAAAAGTTACGTTGAGGGCACCATCATCCTTTTACATAAACCAGGTTTGCTCTTTTGAGTCGTCCTCAATTCCTTCTCTCTCAGTCTCTTATCCAATCAGCTGCTAACATATCTAGTTTACTTGATAAATGCTTGTATGTTGATTGACCCCAACAGATGAAACGTTAAACAATTTTAACAAGCAGAAATCATTTCAAAATGTTTTTATAGGTTACCACTTGCTTTGGTGCTTATGAAGGTCTTCACCAACCCAAAGACAATAAAGAGAATAAGTTGGAAAAGACAATCAAGTTCTGCCCCTACCTTTCCATCTCCCAGTGTACAAGTCTAGCACTAACAGAGCTTTTGGAACATGTGTGGCTCTACTGAGAGGGATGAGAGACCTGAAGGTGATGAAAAGTTACCCCCTCACCCTTTGATGAATAAGCAAACGAATTTGTTTAGGTGCTTGCACCCACTGGTACTCTGATGGTAGGTATTTATCTATATTAAAAAATGTTAATTCCAGATTGTCAACTGTGCCACATGGACTATGCCACAAAGTCCCAGTTGATTTGCTGGAAATAGCAAAGTTTGAACTTAGGGAGAATATAAGGGAGGGTGTAATAGGATCCTCCTTCCTCACAAGTTCAGTTGATGCAGTTGTAGGATGTAATCTCCTTATGGACACTGTGGGTATTTGTGGGAGACTGTACCACAGGTTTATGGGGGGATGTTTTATAGCAACTACTCTTGTCATGCCATTTGAGTAAATAAATGACTTCACCAAGACCTAATTGGGTCTACTGACTCATTATTAATGGGAAGTAAGCCAGTGGGAGCTCTTGAGCTATAGTGTTTGGAGTGAATATCCCTAAGTGTTATCCCTACCTAGAACCCAAGGTAAACAAAGGGGCTCTGTGGACTCAACCTAGGAATGCAAATGTGAGTTGGGGGAGGTAGCCCAGAGGGCATAATACATAAATGGATATGTTGTTTCCTCAATGTAATGTAAACTCCCCCCCACCCCTTAGAGCCAGGATAGTTTCTTCTTTGTATACCTCATGCCTAACCAATATGTTGTTCAGCTGGATCTTACTTGTATGAGGGTTTTCCTGACAAAGATACTGGAGTGGTTTGCCATTTCCTTCTCCAGTGGATTAAGGCAAACAGCAGTTAAGTTGGCAAGGGTCACACAACTAGTGAGTGAGGCCAAATTTGAACTCAGGTCTTCTCCACACCAGGCCCAGAGCAGAGTTCTATCCACTGAACCATCTAGCTACCTCACCCAGAGAATATTAAAGCACCTGATAATTGCTTACTGATTGATAAAGCTTCAATATTTGAAGCACTTTTGAAATGAGAGAATTCTCTAAAAAATATCCCTCGATGTCCTTTCCCTCACCTCCCAACATGTCACCACTCAAAAATCAAAAGCAACACACCTTAACAAACTTCTTAGAGCCTAGAGGGCTGTGTTTTATTTCCTTTTAATTTATTAATATTATTTTATTTTTGGTCTGTACTCTGCCTTACTCTGTCATATACACTACTTAACACCATTCCTGAGGGCAACTTCTACGCTCCCCCCCGCCCCGCCCCTACAAATCTCAACCCTCCAGGCTACTCTGGGCATGGTCCCGGCAAGTGTGAAGAGGACGGCAGTGGAACTCTTGTCCCAGACAGGTCCGGTCTTTGCCCTCCCTTCCCTTCTCCTGGGGACCCAGGTGCTTCCCTGGTGTAGCTAGCGCCCTAACCAGAGCTCAGGACTGACAGGCGCGGGCGCCAGTGGGAGGAGACAGTACCCTGAGCAGAACAAAACCGAAAGCTGCGGCCTGGAGCCAGCGTGGTCCTGGAAAGCGAGAGAACGGGTTAGTGCCCGGGCGCGCGGGGCACAGGGCGCAGGGCGCAGAGGAGGAGGGAGAGGATCGGGCAGAAACCTCCTAAGAAGCGGAGGGCGGCGCAGACACTGTCCGGGAATGCGCCTGGCGCGTGGGGCTGGAGCAGGTCCAGGCCCCCCGCAGCTGCGGCAGCCTAGCCTGGCACTATGCTTCTCCAGCTGAGCGCCGCTTTTGATCTTCAGCAGGACGTGGTCCCTTGGCTGGCCGAGCGTTTGTCTGCGGAGGCGGCTGCTCCTGTGGCTGGCCCGAGGGCAGGCTTAGGTGAGGAGGAAAGAAAGCGCGGCTGGAAGTTTGTTGAAGCAGGGTCTCCAGACGCTTTGCAACTTTAGTAGTCCAGCTGTCCGCTAATTGTGGAGTGGGGGTGGGAGTGGTGCTGACCGACATAGGGGAGGAGGGTGAGCATCACGGATTCCTATTCCCCCCGGCCCCCAAACCTCATCCTCTCAGAGATTAAGGTGGAGCGGGTCACCTTGAAGTCCTTCCTCCCTAGCACCTAAGGATGACCTAGACCTCCAGCCCTGACTCCCGCTGGCACCCAGTGGAGGTCAGAGGAGGTCAGGTTCCTCTGACAGACGTCAGAGTTGTGCTTTTCCTAGTGGGAAATTTCGCTGGGCAGCCGAATGAAACTACCTTAGAGGACTCTGCCAAATAAAGCAACCCACACAATATGGAGAAAAGAAGGTAAAAATACACCCACTGAAAGAAATACATCTTTCTCCAGCTGCACAATCTACACCCAGTTATTTGGGATATTTGTACCAATGATGTAAATAAGAGGTGTGTGGGTGATGCTTAGAATACAGTTTCTGGGAGGGCAGGGACAGTCTTTAGAGTAGATGTTGTGTATAATGCCCAGAACATTTTGGGTGTGGGCCAGATATTCATCCACGACCAAAACTACCAACTTAAGAACTCCATTTCTCAAGCAATAAATAAGCATTTATTAAGTGCTCAGTATGTGTTAGACACTGTTAGGTGTTGGAGATATAAATATAAAGAATGAAACAATCCCTGCTGTCTGGGAGCATCCATTCTATCTGTACTGATTAAGAAGTAGGTGGCAATAAGATGATGAAATCCTTGTCTGCAGCCTTGATTTTTTTCCTCCAGGAAGTATTGGCACAGATCATAGACAAATGAGGTTTTAGTTTTCAGCTAGGACAAAAAAATGTCACTGACTGGTTGTAGGAAAGAAGGGAAAGATGAATTTCTAAGCCTCTTCTGCCATGACTCTATTTCCCATTCATGATGGAGATTTTGGCTTAATTATTGGCATTGACGAATTATTTCCCCTCTCTTTGTATTTTTATAATGCCTTTTGTCATTTAATGGTACTCCTGGAACCTACTGTCCCAACTAAACTGTTAACCTCAATTCAGTGAAGCATTTGGTAAGCATCTGCTGTGCTCTAGGTACTAGGGATGCAGAGATGAAAAATGACTTTCCCTAACCTCAGGGTGCTTGCAGTCTTATAAGGGAAGACTGTAGCCACTAGTAGCCCTATATTTTATTCCCCCTGAAGCCACTATATTTTATGGCAGGAGATTGTAGATTTATGTTTACATATTTTGTTCTTTTGTGGGTTTGCTTCCAATAAATACAGCAATAATGTAAGTTTGTTTTGTCTAAGGCTTAATTTGTTTACCAGTTGCATTATTCTTGGATAAAACTTCTTTGGGGGGAGGAGGAAGAGAATAAAACAAATCCTTACTATGGCAATATAAACTGCTTATGAAATTACTTGACCTGTGTTCATCTGAGGAGGCAGTTTGACATGCTAATAATCTGTAATATCACACTTGCTGCTTGTTCAAATATAAGTTTTTACATAAAAAACTTGTTTCTATTTTATTTGTCCACTCAAAATATTTTTCAGGCATTACATTTTAAAAATTAAGTAAGGATCGACAGTTCTATCTATTTTCAACCACAAAGTTAACACTCTCTTTTAGCATGTAGCCTAGATGGCTAAGTGAGAGGTGCCTGCTAATTAAAAGTTACAGGAAATGTGAAATGCCACACATTTCAATAATAAATGTAGTGGCTGAAAAGCTATGTATGACACTATTGAAATCTTGGCTTTGTTGAATTTTCCGTGACTAAAATAATTTTCTACTTGGGCATTATAGCTATATCACTATGGGCAAGTCACTTAACCTCTCAGCCTGAGTTTCCTGTTCTGTAAAATGGGGATAATAACAGCACCGACTTCACAGGGTTGTCCAAAGGATTAAATGAGATAATAAAGTGCTACATAAATATTATTCATTATTATTGTTAATTCATTTATTTTAGAAGTATTTGTTAAGAAAGAAGTTATGCTAAATTCTGGGAGAGATAGATAAATAAGATAAGGTCCCTGCCCTCAAGTTTATATGATCTCATAGGAGAGATCATACAAATAATTGTAACAAAATAATGTAACTGTAATACAATAATTTGATAAGCGCTTGAGAAAGTTACCAACAAGATGCCTTGGGAGTTCTAGGAAGAGTTATTTCACTTCTGACTTGGGGAAGAATGATAATCAAGGAAGCCTTGATGGAAGCAGATGGCTTTGGAATTAGACCTTGAAAGACAGGATTTCAGTAGGTAGAGATGAGGGTGGGGTGGGCATTGGAGGCACAGCGAATTGTGTGAACAAAGTATTGGGGGCAGAAAATGTGGGGTGTGTTTGGGGGATGTCAAGAAATCCAGTTTAGCTGGAATCTAGAGCACATGGGGCGGAGAATTTTCTTAAAATGGGAGCCAGATTGTGGAGGATCTTGGACTATATTTGGTAGGCAGCTAGGAGCAGTGGAAGGTTTTTGAGCAAGTGAATGCTTTTGAATTGGAAGGTGCAGTAACTGGAAGTAGGGAGACACCTAATAGGGGATGACTACCAGTGGTTTAGATGAAGATTGCTGAGAAGTTGTGAGGACCCAGCTGAAGTTACATAACATGTGTTTATAATAGTGAAATTAGCCATTGTTTTGTCTGTTGAGATTCAGCAGTCTGGGAGTAGGAGCAGAGAACTTGGGTGGCATGCCAGGATTTTAGTTATGCTTAGGACTGAGGATTAGGAGGGTGGAAGTGGAAGGTCATAGAGCTAGTAGAATCATGACATGGCTGCTGTTGGTTTGGGAGTGTGGAAGCAAGCAAAGACAGAAATGGAGAGATAGAAAAATAGAGTCATGATAAGGGTGAAGAGCGGAACAAATTTAGTTCAATCCAGAAAGGAAAGGCTTAAAAAAAAAAGCTGTGTTCTGTCAACCAGATCTAGAGCTTAAATGTTGACCATTAAATAGAGATTTTAAAAAGAGGGGGGCAGCAAATGGTGCCTGACTTCTAGTCATTATAAAAAGTTACCTTATTCAGAGAGATCTTTGTATATGCTTTTTTTTTTGATAAATCTGCTTTATAGGCAACATTTGACCTCTGTACCTGTGAGTTCTTTGGTCAATTTATGTTGGGAATCCTGTATATTGATGCCATATCAGCCCATTTCAGTGGATTAAAATAATTTTGAATTAAGTTACCACTCTGCTTATTTTTTCAGTGAAACTCAGAACCAACCTCTATCAACATCTTATATTTCCCTGTTTAATTACTTTTTCCTTTATTATTTGGCTGAGTTTTAACAATTGAGTATGTTAGGGGTTCTTGTTATCTGAGTATTTATTATCCAGGTCCCTGTGGCTAAGAATTTTTTTGTTTGTTTGTTTGTTTTTGTATCGCTGGTGATTTCATTTGTGCAATGAATTCCCAGAGAGGAAGCTCCATTTATCAATGTAGATCATCAAGTGCTCTGAAACTTATATTCTTCGAGTTTTCTGGGATACTAAAGTGACTTGCTCAAATGGCCAATATATATTCAAGGTGGGATTTGAATCCTAGTCTTTCTGACTTGAGGCCTATAAGCTACTCTGTCAAGCTGATTCTCAACAAGTTTGGATAGGAAAGCAAAAGTCAAAAAGTCATCATAATTTTAAAATATTCATTAAAAAACTGACCACTCAAATTAACTCCTATTCATACAGCCACACCTTTCCTCATTAAACACTAGTATCTATGCCCTTTCCATATTTTATTGATCAGGTGGGCTTTTTAAAAGAATTATTTGATATCAAAAGATTAAGAGAGTTCCTTGAGGAAACTGATTAATATCCTCTTTAAATATATTTGTAATATACTTGTTGCTAAAATAAAACTTGAAGGAAAGGATGTGTTTATCATGCTATTGGACAATATTATCAGAAAAATTATGTCAAGAAAATCACTGCTTGATTTAGTCTTTGTTCATTCCAAGAATTAACAAGTAGATAAAGTTGTAGCCTAAATTTCATTAGGTATGACATAATAAACTAATTTAAAAATAATTTTTAGTTACATTTCTGAAGATAAAGTCCCAACAAAACATTTTTTTTCAATATTTGCTGTGAAACATTGTTCCCTATTTAAAGTGCATCCTTTTTATATATCTTCTGGTAAGGAGGGCCTCCTCTGTTGTCACCATAAAGAAATCATGAATCATTTAAATACCAAAAGGAGCTCTGCAAATATCCCTAATTATTGCAAATATATGCTCATAAATGTTGATGTGAAAAACAATTGGTGCTTTTAATGGACTTCAGGGTCCATATGAATAAACAACATAGCAACATGGTAGCCAAAAAAAAAATAATGCAATTTTAAGCATCGGCAATAGTGGTCTATGGTCCAGAATACAGGACTTACTAGTTCTGCTGGTTTCTGTCTTCATCAGCTCACGTAAAGAATTTTTCGTTCAGTTCTGGGAACCTTTTTAGGAAGGACACTGGCAATCTGGACCATATCCCAAAATCCCCAGAGGGAAATGTAGAGACTATGCTGGTCCATCTTTTCATCTTTTGATGGATGATCCATTGAAGGAACTGGGTATCCCTGGCCTAGAGCAGAGAATACTTAATAGAAACATGATAGCTGCTCTAAATTATTTGTGGGCCTGTCAACTAGTTGAGAGATCAGACTTGTTCAGCTTGGCCCCAGAAGGCAGAACTAGAAGAAGCTGCAGGGTTAGATTGCAGTTAGGATAATTTTTTAACAAGTAGAGCTAGATGAAAGTAAAATCTACTGCCTCAGAAGGTGGTGGTTTGCTCTTCACCAGGCCCCTTTTAAGTGAAGGCTGGATGACCACTTAGAGTGTGTGTGTGTGTGTGTGTGTGTGTGTGTATGTTGTGTTTCCTATTCAGATATGTGTAGAACTTTCTAGCTTTTGAGGTCTATGCCAACTCCAAGACATA